ATTGTCAGAAGCTGTACGTGGACATTATTTCATTGAAAAATGCTAGGGGTACACCAAAGATGTACCCCATTTGTCCCCCACCCCCTCCATTACCACAAAAATGGGCAAGAAATTTAAAAAAAAATTAAATAAATAAAAATGGGGTTAAAATGAGTGGTAGAGAAAAAGGTGGGGGACAAATGGGGTACACCTTTGGTGTACCCCTAGCATGGCTCTATTTCATTGTGCACCTCTCAATAACCAACTAAGTTATGCCTCTGAACAAACATTGAATGCTTCAAAATACTACCTCTGTCCCACTGTCTTTGTCCATATTTGACTTTTAGAACTGTTCATCTAAGCACTTTGACTCATCAAATTCTCTTAATGTGTAAGCCTATAAATAGTCATGTGTGATCTTGTTTGATTCGTCTTAACATATAGATTATTAATATATAATTTGTATAATTTTTTAATATACAAATTACAAAATAAAATAGATTAAAGAAGTGCATTAGATAATATGTCAAAAGGTAAGTGGACAAACACAGTGGGACGGAGGGATTATGATTATTGGGTACGTGCTTCGACCATCGATCATAAATTCACATTAATGTATGAATCTTTTCATATGAACAAATTATTAAAATACTCTGTATAACCGAAGCATGTTAGCATAGTGTCAAAGATGCCACAACATGCTTCTTCCATATTCGGTGTTTGAGGCACACCCTTCATCTAGATAATTAAAATTAGAGTTATATGCATATATAGTCTTGGTAGTGTTTTATAAGTGGGTAAATAGTCCCTGACTTTTAAAAATTATCAAATAGTCCTTGTGGTCAAACAATCATAGCATAGTTAGTCTCTATTTTAAGAAAATTCATAAAATATACACAAAATGCACATATTATACAAAGACGTCAATCATGTAGTAAAAAAACAAATACTCCCTCCGTTTGGAAAAAGTGTTCCTCTTTTGACTTTGTGTAAAAATAAGGAAGTATTAAATTGTAGTTGACTTTCAATTTTGCTCTTGATGTGATAGGTAAAAGTAAGATGTGATGGATCGATTATTAAAGATAAAGTATGATGTGATATGTAGGGTATGAAAAAGTAATGGTAAAAGTGGTTTTTTTAATAGAAAGTGAAAATGTTTTGTTGGAAGTAAAAAAAATGAAAGAGGAAGTGTATTTGAGAACGGATGGAGTATGAAATTTCAATTGTGATGTGTAACTTTGAACCATAGTACAACATCTTCAATATTTTAGTTAACTTTTACTCCCTCCGTTCCACAAAACCCTTCGGTTTTGACTTTGGAGAAAAATAAGGAAAGTGAAATTTTGGTTGACTTTTCAATTTTGTCTCTAATGTGATGGGAAAAAGTAAGATGTGATAGTTTGGTTATTAGTGTAAAAGTATGATGTGATAGGTAGGGTATGAAAAAGTAGGGGTAAAAGTGGGTTTTTAATGGAAAGTGGAAGTGTTTTGTGGAAAGCAAAAAAATCGAAAGGGAAAGGGTTTTGTGGAACGGAGGGAGTATAACGAATTGTTCGTATCTTCTATAGCAATATTCTTGAATCGTAGTACAGTGTCCTATGTGAGCTTGACATTATTTTATTTTTCAAGTAGCTTTATTCTTAAGTGAAATCGTGTGAGAAAAGAGCTAGAAAAAGATCATTCATTGCCTTTAACCACAAAAACAAAGGCAATTTAATGAGATAAAATTTTCACACAGTACACCTATGTTGTGTATGTTTTACGCTTTCCTTAAAGAAGAGACTAATTATGCATCAGTTCTTTGACCACATGAACTATATTGCAACTTTTAAAAATACAGAGACTATTTACCGACTCATGAAAAACTATATGGACTATTTGTTTATTTAACTATTAAAATTATTAGATTGATGAACATATAATATACTGATGATGAGATCCACACACAAAAAAGTAAAATACAAATTAAATGAATGCTTAACTTAATTAATATTATAAAAATATTCTTATAACTAACTATTGAAAGGAATCATTATATTAATAAAATATAATTAAGAATTTACGATGATTATTAGCTTTGCTATCTTTGTCTATTAGTCTTAATCACATATTTCGTGTTTTAATATCTTACATGAGGACATTCAATTCAATGATGGTCATTATCCACATGTTTTGGGGTGGTAAACTTTATTTGCACAATCTTTAATTTACTACTCCCTATTTCATACACTTAATTTTTTCACTTTCGTTTACCTTTTTTTTAATCTGAACATTCAACAGTAACAATTTTTTTTACCGCGGTAAGTCAATTCACGTACAATAGTGTTTCTTGGCGTACTTGTGTTTGATTTTGGCAATTTTACTTGATTCTATCCATTAAAATACAAATCCAATGCATATTCTGTTTTTGTCGCATTTGAATGACTTTTTTCTTTTTAAAAACTGCACAAATATCTTAATAATAATGGACAACAAACGGTACAAAATTTAGTTAATACCAAATTTAATAAATTCGAAATTATAGTCCTAATTTAATAAATTCGAATTCAATTCTTTAAAAATAGGATAATAACAACAAAAAAATAATTACTCCGTATTCTAAATTGAAGGATTTTGTTAAAATTTAGTAAAATAATGGTTATTCAAAATAAAATTTAGTAAAATAAGATATGTGAGTTCTTAGCAAAAAGTGTGAGATACGCTGAAGTAAATTTTTTGGTGTTAGATTTGCCAAAGTAACGAAATTTTCAATCGTAATTGATTGTCAAATGGACAAAATGTACTCTCAAAATACATTACTACAAATTGTAAGGACTCTCAAAATATTTTCCAAATAATATGGCTTTTTATGTGGAATCTCAGAATTTTTATTAGAGAATAGAAGGTACCACAAAGTATATTTAATACACTACGGAACATGCAGGTTCTTACTAGAAAAATCGAGAGTACCTCGAGGTTACTTTCTGTAGATTATAAATGACAAATACTCCCTCCGACCGATATTAATCTTCTCATTTGATTTTTTTGTCAAAATTGGTAAACTGTAGTGTAAAAAAATATAGTGTTTCAATATAAATATAATATCAATAGTCTAGTTTTCTTTTGAAATATTAAAATTTTATAAGTATCTATGTATAATATCGTTATCAATAATCAAAGCTTTGCATTAGAGAGTGTGAAAAGTCATAAAAAGAAGTACTTGATTATTTGAAAAGTGTCTAGAATCACAATCAAAATATTTGGGAGCAGAGTTACACATTGGACCATATGACTACCTTCCACATATTTATTACTAATATTATTACTCCACCATTAACTTCATACTATAACAACCATTCCCCATCTCTCCCATAATTAACTCCATGCCATGAATACACTTTCCACACTATCTCTAAATGAGACACCAAATTAGATCTATACACCGTACTCTATATCATTAATAATAATAATAATAATAATATTATTATTATTATTATTATTATTGTTGTTGTTATTATTATTCCTTATATAGCTTCAAATTCCATCAATGACAATCAGTGTCTACATATTATCATATATGTACAGTTGTACACCTTCAAAACATAATAAACAACTCACTTTTCATACTACTCTCGAAAAATACTCATAGGCCCCGTTTGGTACATGGAATTCAAACTATGGAATTGGAATTGGGGACTTCAATTCCAATTCTTGTGTTTGGTAGCACAAAAATTATGTGGATTTGGAATTGATAGTGCAAAAAAAGAATTGGAATTGACAGAATTCAATTCTATGGTATTGAATTCCATGAAATTTCAATTCCAATCCCACCAATTCCTTATACCAAACGGACCCATAGTATTTTCTCAATTTAAGTTTCTATGGAAATATCGCGTGATCATCATATTATTTATTATTAATTATATTATTGTATGTTATTATATTATACTCCCTCCGTTCCAAAATGTTTGTTACGTTTAGAAAAAACTGTGTCCCGTAAAGTCCGTTACATTTCTATTAAAAAACCACTTTTACCCCTTACTTTTTCATACCCTACCTATCACATCATACCTTTTTTCTAATAATCTACCCATCACATCATACTTTTACCCATCACAACAAGGGTATTTTTGGAAAGTCAATACCAAAATATCCCTCCCTTAATTTCCCAAAAAGCCAAACCGTCTCATTCTTTTTGGGACGGAGGGAGTATATTCTTGATATCCGTGTGGATTAGAATCTATTACGAAGTAGTACATAATAAACATGATATGATTAGTAATACCACTCGTACGGTTTAAGTGTTTTTGTCCAGTTGGATTCTTTCGAGTCAAATAGCGCATGAACTTTGATTTTCAATTGAAAAAAATGTAATTGATATTATTATAAAAATGATTTTATTAGATTATTTTGTTGAAAATTTTTAAAATTTTATTCGATTGTACCAATATGCGATAAAAATGGAGAGTAATTGAAGAATAAAATTTGACTAGTTTGATTCAAAAATATTAAATTAGACGAATACACTTGGACGAAATAGTAATATGGAAAGTAATTCATTTGTCCTTAATAATATATCCCTTTATATATTTGCTCAAAAAAGTCCCTTTATATAATTCGAGTTTAAAACAAATGGAAAACATGAAGATTGTAATTATATCAGGAATTCGGGAGTATATATTGGTACATAGATAAATTAGTCCCTTTCTCCTAAAACTTTCTTCCCAGAGCACTATTCCAATTTCACAAAAATTTATATTTATTTGTGTTTTTTCATGGCTTATATGATAAAATAAAATATTTTTGTCACCACTTATTTTGTTGAAGTTTTGATATACTCCATAGTTTTTAAATATGTATCTTTTATTTTTTATTTCTATATCAATATTTAAATAAAATAAATTGAAAAAACTTGAAATTTTTCTTCATTTTGCGCAACGGGAAGAAAGTTTTAGAACGGAGGGAGTAATAAATTAATAATTAAATTAATAAATGTGAATAATAATTAAATAGAAAAATAAATATCAATAATAAGTGAAAACACTTCTCAACTATTTTTATTATTATTTTTTCGATTAAATTGGATGTACAAGCAAGCTCCCTAATTAATCATCGTTTGGGACGACTGTGTGCCATCTCCACACTCACTTTATAGTTTCATAACCCGAAAATAAAGTCATCGACCGAGTCAACACAGCGATCGATGCAACTCGGACGAGTCGACCCCACCATATTCGTCGCTGTACCTCACCAACTCGGGATCTCGCCTTGCAAAAGCGGCCGCGACTCGGGAAACGGGTCCATACGGGTCCGGATCGCACCTACAAAGCGACTTCTCTGAAAATCCGGAGTGCTGAAGAACCGGGCGGGGGATTTGGAACTCGAATCGGGTCGGGCCAGCTGCCGGAGGATCTCCTCGAACAGCGATTCGTCGCAGGGAATGGCGAGCGGGCCGGCGTTGTCGAATCCGTACTCCTCCTCCGCCTGCGACAACAGAATCGCGAAAATCGGGTGATTCAGGTACGTGGCGCGAACCACGAACCGCTTGCAGCTGCTCCCGACCGTCACCGCCACGTGTCCGGCGGGAACATCGGGCGGCACGCGGCCGCGGTTGCGGGCGGAAGCTGTGGCCTTCTTCCGCCACCGGCGGAGCATTTGCCGGAGCTTGACAATTTTCTGGATTTTGCTGCAGGCCATTTATTAAATTTTAGAGAGAAAATTTACTTTGAATGGTTATTAGGATGAGAAAGAGGGGAGGGTTTATATACAACTGTTAAATGCTCTGTTTGGTGTTAGATAGATGCAGACATAAGTTAATTGGAGAGAGTAATTAGCATAGTTAATTAAGGAGTAAGACTTGATTAAAAGGAATAAATAGCCTCTATGATGCTTGAAAAGTAAGACTTGAAGATCTTATAGCCCCTTTTGTTTATTCAATAATAATCTGCAAGAGATCCTCTATTATTGGATCTCAAATGTGAAAATTTTAACAATGTTTAATCTTAATAACCCTTATTTTTCTAGATATAGTTGCTATTTTTCATGTTTAATAAAAATTTATGACAAATTGTCTAAAATGTTATATAAATAAAATTTTAAAGTTGTTGATATGAATGAGTAATACTCTCTATATCTCTGAATATTTGTTCACTTTTGACTTTTTTGTTAAAATTGCTAAATCTGGATCTTAAATTAAATAAAAATGATATTAGATACTCATACAAAATAGTTTTATTAGATTTATTATATCAAATAATTTCAATATATTGTTTTATCTAATTTATATAAAATATATATTTTATTTAATTATAGGTTAAATGTTGAAAATGGTTGACAGAAAAATGTCAAAATTTATATACAATATATATTTTATTTAATTATAGGTCAAATGTTTAAAATGATTGACAGAAAAAGGTCAAAATAGGACAAATACTCAAAGACGGAGGTAGTACAGCTATTTGAAGAACTTATTTGGCATTTTAAACTTATTTTTAAACAATAATGTTTTCTGGAAATTGGAAAATTAAATCCAGGTGAAGCGAGTAAATCTATATTTGTTTTATTTGTAAGAGGTTAAAAGTCTAGAAACCACATAGAAGCAAATTAAACTTAGTATCTCTAAAATAGAAGTAATATATTCTATCCATAAAATAGAATTTTTGTATTGTGAAAATGTTTCCATGTATACTAGCATTCCACCGCATTTTTGGTATTATATGTTGACATTTTTAACATTACAAAAAAGATGATCCACATTCCTAAGAGCCCTTCAATCCGGCGGGACGATCAACTCAGATGAGATAAATTATGTTTCAATCACAGAGTGGTTGTCAAATAGTGAAGTCTGTTGTTGGTAATTACATATATATTATGCTTAATATGGTTGTCTCCTAACACAATTGCTAAAAGTGAAACTAAGGTGTTACCCCATTGAGCACCCTTACTCAATCGCAATACCCAGCCACTGACATCATATGTTTTATTTTAGGATAAAAACATGAAAGTATTGTTTCAGTTTTTTCCCTATGCTTTTACAGTTATTTTAGTATGCAGTATTTTTTAAAAACTTTGATTTTTAAGGAAATGTTTTATACTCACATCTCCACTCGCGTGCAGTTGAAATTTATTTTGTTTTTTCTCGAGTCATGCATGTGAAAATTAAGTTTTTTTATAACTTAATGGGTAGTAGTGAGATTTAAACTTGTGACCTCTTAGTCAACAAAGCTTCAATACCATATCAAGAAATCAACTCAACTAAAAGCTCAAATTTATGATTGTAAGTCTAAGCCGGAAAGGTTTTGGGAGAAAAACCAAAGTAAGATTAAAACATTGAAAAAATACAAAAATAGGACTTCTATATTTTTATTCTCGAAATATGATTTAAAATGCATTTACATTACCAAACATGATCATGTACATTATCAAAAAATATAGTAATGTGCACATGCACAATATCACATCACCACAGTACGAAATCCTATTTCGGGAAAAAAACATGAAAGTCCTATTTTGGTACTTTGTACTTTTTCTATGTTTTAGTCCTATTTATGGTGATTTCTAAAAGATTTTATACTCTAAAAACTCATGAAAATACCAAAATAGGAGTTATAAATCATTGAAGACCAAAGCAGGATTCATAAGTCTTTTAAGACCAAAATAGGAGTTCACACTTTCATTGTTACAGTATCACACTCACTGCCACAATGTCATCCACTCATTCGTCGCTGCCGGCCCAGAGTACCGCCGCAAATCAATCCAAGACTGTGTTAGCCTTTTAGGGTTCATTGTCACTTGAGATCAATTTCTTCCCGTGTTTTTCAAAATTCAACTCTATTTTTACCACGTGTTACAAGGGGTGTTCATTCGGATATATCCGATCCGATCCGGTTTTTCGGATATCCGAAATTTTTGGATTGGTAAAAATATCTATTCCATGTCCGATTCGAAAAGTACCGGATACCCGAATTTCGGATCAGGTCAATGGAATATTCAAAAAAAATTACTTGGTATTTTTTTTTGAATTTTAATTTTTTCCAATAATTCTAAAAAAGTATTTAGAATGATTTTTTATTTGTTAAAATAGTAGAGGTCATAAATTAGACTTGAATTTGAAGTCAACTTTATATTAAATGTCATAGTTACCTTGATAGTGTTATCATAAGTCAAAATCTTATAAATGTATGAAAAAAGAATATCAACATAAGTGACAAATAAAACATAGACAAAAAGACTAAAGTAAAAAAACTTCAACTAATTTTAGATTCAAATATTTATGATGATGAAAATGAATTGGGCTTAAGTTATCTAAGCTTTATTTTTATATTTAATTTTTTAAAAGTATGAACTTTGGATATCCACGGATATCCAAAATCTTAATATTTCATTCCATATCCGATCTGATTTTTTTCGGATATCCGATCCGAAAGCTAAAATATCAGATCGAATATCCATTTTTTGGATTGGATCGGTCCGGAACATGGACGGATATTTCGAATCGGATATTTTAAACACCCCTACGTGTTAGAGAATAATCATAATACGCAATAATAATAAGTGAAATTTGCACTAAATATGACTAACACATAAGTCATTTCTCAATATAGGGTTTAAACTTTTTTATTCTCTAAATAGTACTTAATAATGTCTAATGAGAGAATTAATGTCCAGTGATGGTGGACATTTACTTGAATAATGACTAATAAATAATAACCAATGGTCTTACATTGAGAAATAAAAACATATGGTCATATATGAAGAAAGTCATTATTTTTTAATCCTATTTACGTAAATACCTCTAATAATTATGATAGATTAGTTATGATAGTCCTTTTATTTTAGTTACCTTCTATTATTGATTCTGATTTCTAATTGGGTTATAATATCGTCTACATATATTCTACAATGTATTCAATAATTTTTTGAATAATAGAATTATTCCATTATTCAATACCACCTAATAACACTTGAGTCTAATGAAATTTTTTAAGTGTCCCTTAAATATTAGCAAAGCGTCCTTAAAAGATGAGCGGAGACATGCAAAGCAAAATGATATTCTTTGTCTTAATATTTTTTATCAGATACCATTCACACGATCAAATAATAATCATTGTCTATATTTATTTTTGTTAATTAGTTATCTCATCATAAGTATTATAATCATGTCACATCTTATTATGTATAACTTTGATATGTTTTTTAAACTCCCTAATATAATATATATATATATATATTCATGCTGATTTCCCAGCGACAGAAAAGAATAGAGAACTGACCCCAAATGTTTGCTTGTTTTGTGTATGTTTTTTTGGCGGGAGTCAATTGGGACTTTTTTCAAGCATTAATTTGCTAGTTTGAGAAACAGAGTTATGGTTAACAGATCTTGAACATTTAAATTTGAGTAATATACACCGTACTACTAGGGCTGGACACGGGCCGGTTTTGGAACTAGCGATTCCGACACTGCGCATAGTAGAGCCGTAACTGTTACCAACATAGCCAGTTCGTAGTTGGTTCCAGAACTGGCAATTCCGGTCCGATTCTAGGCGGTTCTAGGAGTACTAAATAATAAGATATTATTTATATGTAATGTAAACGAAATCTATTACATTTTATAAATTATAATAATGCAGTTGTTATTTTAATGACTAAAGTTGAATATTACAACTAAATTTAATTTCTTGACGGTTCAAAAAAAAGTGACGAGGTAAATAACTATAAAGAAACGCTCGAAAGAGCTTATAAATTTTTCATCAAAAAATTACAATTTTAAAAAGATACGAATTCATTCCTTGGAACTATCACTTCGAACTTTCAATTCCCTCCGTGATTGCATCTATGTAATTTTCTGTATCAATGTCGTAGCCTACCTCTTTTGTTTGATGTCTTGTCAAGAGTCAATCTCGGTTGCAAATAAGTATCTCAAGCGATTTAGTGCAAAGACCATTTTGATAATCGGTTAAAATGTTGCCGTTAGAACCGAACTCATGTTCTACAGCTACGGTTGAAATCGGCATAGATAACTGTTATCTGGCTAGCATTTGATGACATCGAACTCGCTATCGTAGTCGCATGGAACACCTTGGTATATCGCAAGTTCGTTGTGCGAACTTACACTTGTACCACATGTACTCTTCGACGAAGAGCTACGTTTACCTTTTCTCGTCAAGAGGTCACCACTATCCCTTTAAAACCTTTTTTGTCTTCTGGACAGGAGGAGCTATTGTTTCTTCTGATGGAGCTCTTTGTAAAACTTGAAATGTTTTAAATAAAGATTCAAAAAGATCAACAACATTATTTCTTTCTTTTGTCCATTCTATTAATTGGTCATAAAAGTATCTATTTTCATCTAAAAACAATAATAATAATACTCAATGTGTATTTTAAAATTCTCAATTTTCAAGCGTAGATCACAAATAATACTAATTTTATTTATTTTAAGGAATACCCGGAGTATATAAGTAATAAGTACAACATTTATTCTTCATAAGATACACATAAGGTTATAAATGTGGATAAAATAAACTTTCACAAAAACATGTAGCAATTGTAATAGACTCATAAAATACACTCTCTCCGTCCCAAAAAGATTTACACCTTTCAAAAAAATTGCGTCCCACAATCTCCTACCCATTTCTATTAAAAACCACTTTAATTGTACCCCTTACTTTTTCAAACCCTACCTATCACATCATACTTTTTTTCTAATAATGTACACATCACATCCTATTTTTACCCATCACATCAAGGGTATTTTTGGAAAGTCAACTCAAAATTATCCCTCCCTTAATTTCAACTTTAG